ATTGATCCCAAAGAAGATCTATCACCTTGTCTTGACAATCCAAAGTATTGCCAAAAGGCAAGGGTCTTGTTTTATTCCTGGTGTTTCCTACTACAATTAGCTTCAAGTCCTGTCTTCGACAAGAGCCAAAAGGGCTTTTCAATTGTTTTCCTAAATAAGCACTCCATTCTTATCACATCAGACTTATCTTTAGAATATTTGAATAGAATATCTTTAAGTTGTCAGTTGCTACTGTATAAATAGAGGTTGCTAAGGAAGGAACAGTAGCTGCTTCCTTAAGCAACAGTAGCAAAAAAGGATGAAACAGCAGATGATTTCTTAGCAGAAACAGCAGACTAAGAGCAGCAGTTCTCTTCTACTGCAGTATTTAAAAAAATGTAGAAATGCCATCCACTGAAGTATTGATATTTTAAGGCAGAAAAATATAGCAAATCTACCTCAAATTGGCACATTTGCTAACGAGTGTAAGAAGGCATTTTCCTTGCTTCTGAAATTCATCCCCTTTTCATTTTGTAGCTCTTTAGTTTTTATTTTACAGTTGTAGATATGTTTACTCTCCTTTTTAGGGTTATTTGCCTACTTCAGAGCAATTCTAGGAATTCACAACTGAAGGATCTTGCATTCAGAACCACATTAAAGATTACCAGCAAGGAAGCAAGTTCCCTGTAGCAGCAGAAAGTATGTATTCAGGTATAATATTGTTACTCAGGGAGAGATTTGTCAGAATAAGGGTCTGGTTTCTTATTTTTATTTATTTATTTAGATCTGAACCTTGTCCAATTAGAACACTGGTGCAAAGAATTTGGTTTGGGGGACTAAAACTCTTTACTGGGGCTTCTACTGAAGCCACACCTTCTTAGAGGATGGATTCAGTAATTTCACACTTGGAGATTACCATTGTGGCCATTCTTAATCACTTTCAGAGCATAACAGCAATGCTCTGCACCCAGTCCACTGATGAAGCCACTACAGTTGTATAACTTAGAGATGATTATTCTGCTCTTGTGATCACTTCAGGGAGCTGGCTGCCATGCACTGTTCTGGCTGTAGTCTCTAGGGGAAGATATTACAACAGTAGAGCTCCTCTGGAAGAAAAAAGGCTTAGGACTTGTCCACACAGGGGACAATTCAGGATTATTTATCTGAATTAGCTACAGATTTGCTGTGGATTAGTTAGAATCATATAAACCTCTGGGTGTATACTTTTATTCAGAATTAAATTGTCCTAATTCAATTAGATTAATTTACTTCCAAATATTTTACACAGCTAGTGATAACAGACCAAGAGCAGAAGACATGTAAAAGTATCTAAAATGGTCTGCCAATGAACAGAGCCGCTCTCCCTTTATGCCTCATGAATACCACATCTCATAGCAGAACGTAGTATCAAGAACTGACAACTGGAATGGAAGAAATTGAGTTCAAGCACATGACAGGCAGAGAACTGGATGTCACCATCTTCTTCAGAAAAAAAGTAGTTGGAGCCTGGGCACTAGCCGGTTATATTCCTTCCAGCTAGACTGATCATCAAACGTGCCTGGATCATGATATCCTTTTAGGCAAGTGGGAGCCTGGCGTCTCTGAAGCTAGCCTTAATGACAGCTATCCCAGACAAGTTGGTGATAAGATAGTATTCATCAGACACTGAGGACAGGTTTCATCCAGGATATGCTGCACTTCCTAGGATTCCCTACAGAGAGAGAACAAGCTCCAGTACTGAGCAGGGAACCAAGTACCTAATCCCCTGTGTTGGAAGTGGACTGGGGCTTCATGATGAGGCAACTATAGGCAGTTTAGTATCAAAAGCAAACCTATTCGAGTTGTACCACGGCATGGCAACTCAGCAAGTGCTGAAGAAACAACCAGGCTCATTACACAGTCACAGTAGGGCTTCCAATGCCCACCCTGACAGGAGTTTTCTGGGGTGTTCAGCTTCCTCTTCCCAGAATATCAGGTCAAGCCTAGAAACCCTACCGAGCTTTTTCAGCCATCCCCACACAGGAGGGGATGACAAAAAGGCAACTCTGTTTCAGCAGAAAGTCCCCGGAGGCCAATAGCAAGAGTAAAGCCTGCACAACCCTAGGCACACAGCGGAAGTTCCAGTGAGCAGACAGACTGTGAAGCTTTCCTTTACCTTCCTTTGTGGAAGTCCCTGAAAACCAAAAGGCCTGGAAGTGGAGAAGGCCAAAAGCTGAAGCCATGATAGGTCCCCATTCATTTGGCTTTCCACTTGTCCAAGTAAGAACCGGGCAGCCGCTGGCTCCAGCTGCAGTTGTGCTTGTAGTACACTTCAGGGTGAGGGCATGGTATCTTGCCTGATCTGTCCAGTCTCTCAAAGGTACTTGAGGGGCGATGAAAAGCGCTGGTGTAGAGCAGGCAAGCCTGGTGTGTTGGGATTGAGTCAGCTGTCAGAGGCAGAGCCTGGTGAAGATGCTCTTGGTGTGGTTGGAGGGAGTTGCTGCAGGGCTGAGAGGTCTGCTCGCCCTTCCGCCTGCAAATGCTCCTGAGCGTCCCCCAAGGCCAAGGCTATGCAGATGGCCAGGGATGTATTTGATCAAAACAGACCCAGATTATCTGTTACTAAAATGTCGTGCACTCTGCTTTCTGCATGGCAAGCCTCAGAAAAACCAAAATTAGACTTCAGAAGAGTCTAAAAAGCTCCCTGCTAACATAGTGTGCAAACGGACTGTTGCACTTACTGTGATCTGGGACAGCAACAAAATTCAAAGGCAACAGCAAACAGCAAAGAAAATTGCAGCTGAAACGTACCAACATTATCCTCCTTTAATACATATTTTTAAAATGAAAATTTTTAGAAGCTGAAGAGATGTGAGCCCAGATGCTATTACCGTATGTCTTATGCAGTTCATGATTACGAACAAACAGCAGAATACATATAAGGGAATCTAAAATGGTATGGATACGAGCCCAGCTGGTGTCCCCGTATGCCTCATGAATTCCATTTTTAGGAACACAGCAACATATACCATTAGAGATGCTTCTTAAACATCTCATTTATAAATAGAGTGGAACTGTTGCACTGAAGTACACACAGAAAAGGTGCACAAAGATCATAAAACCAGCTGCATTCAAAACCACGGAAACAGTTCAACCACAGCGTTTTTGTTAGGAACCACTCTCCACCAGAACATCCTCTGAACGAAGGATGATGCTTGTTTGTCATAGGCTCCTCACTGGGATTTTTTTAAAAGCAACCACCAAAAAGCCATTTTAGTCAGAAAATGCCAACTTACTTTTGTTTTGGCTTTTTCAGGTCCAGAATGGAAGAGCAAAGGCCGAAGCTCCAGGGCAGTGGAGAGGTACACGTGTGGGAGAGGTAAATTCTTGCCACTTCTGAAAATCAGTCGCAGTAGGGTCTGGAGCTTGGCCGGTCCATGTCCTGGGGAAGAGTCTTTCACCAACAGGCTGTGGACTCTTCTGCAATACAGCTCCTCTTCTCCTGCTTTTCAATTTCACCAGAGTCACCTCTAAGGGAAGGTAGTTAACTGTGTGGATTCCTGGTTAATTGTGAAAATATATCACCAAATGCAGTTGACTTAAAATCATCATTTACGTACACTATCAACCAAAATATATCTAGAGTGGATATCTAAAAAAAATACACCGCATATGAATGAAAAATTATTTTATTTAAAAATACATTATACAGCAGAGTGTCTGTCTTTGTTTTCTCACTGCTGGTTCACAGAGATAATATGATAAATTTAACCCAAATATTTGACTGGGAAAGATCCTGAGAGAGAAAGAGACCAGTTACAAGCTGATGATATACAGTACACTGAAAAAGAGTCATCTCTTTTAACATAAAAGAATCTCTTGGTAATCTTATAAATCAGATATAAAAAATGCAGGTTTGCTACCATGCAAAAAATGAGTGAAGATTTCATTTAAATCTGCACACAGAAAAATCATTAGTACCTTGGACCCTAAATAGCTAGACTAAGAGAAGGGTAAGTGTGCCTAACATGGTGATACAAACTTTGGACCTACTACAATTTTGTAAATACAGTTGATAGTCTAATAAAGGTGGATTTTCAATCACCTAGGTAACGCTGTTGTAGCTAAGGGCTCTATTCTAGGACTTTTCTCCCCACTGATGTATTTCTTTATTCTCCAGTTCTCAGCTGAGCACAATGACTTTGTGAGATATACTCTACTGCACTCAAAGGTGACTTGGCCTTGCCCTGTTTGCCAAGCACTATTTAGGCAGCTGTATTTCAGTGAAAGCAGAGGTTAAAATAAAAAGTAAAAAGCAGGTGTTACCTGGATGACTATGTAGGAATGCGTTAAAATTAATCATAGAAAACACATACCTGATTCTACAGCCTTATGTTTCAAACATCTTCTAACAATGATTAATGCACAGGAAATACACTGAATCATGGAGAATTTAAGGCCTAGAATGTTCAACAGCCTGCACCGAACCTTACTATTCTCAATTTGGCTATAGTGTTAGTGTTGTATCAGCTGTTGCCAGAGGAAAACTTTCTGGCAGATGTTAAGAGCATCTTCAGCGTCTACAATATTCAGATCCATTTGGTGCTCAATTTTTATAGGACAACTTCACTACGAATAGTCAGCAAGGCTGTCTTTTGAAGGGGAGGCTCAATTTGATTATTCACAGCAATAACAGAGATATGGTAACATTGCCTGATGTTGAAGAAAAATCAATTCGTCAACACCGCACAAACTGACAGAGGATTTTTTTGCAAGAATATGGCCCTGAAACACAAACAGAGACAGAAAGATTTGCAGAGGGAAAGTCTGCCTGTCATGGTTGCTTAGGCAGAAGAAAATTAATGAAATAATTTTGTTTTTTTTTCATGAGTGCTCCAACATGAAAAAGAAGAGTAGAAGCTCATACGCACTTTTCTCACTAAGGCAGTGACCCTCTTCTTATCTTAGCAGCCATTCTCCCAGCATAATATCAGGGTGTACAACAAATATGAGAAGATGCAGGCTTCCTTGAATAATTTGTTTAAACAATTTATGAATAGCACAGCTTCCCATCAGATATGCTGAGCTAAGAATGGAGCCCTTAACCTTTCATGGGATATCATTAGTAATAAAGAATATATCAATGATCAAACTTTCTATATTATTTTCATTTCTTTTAACCTAGATACATATATATCATCCAAGACGTTCAAGAACTACAAAACAACAATTCAACTATAATTATGTCAGGAAAATATCCAAATAAATAAACTTTTAATTATGATACAATACTTATTACAGTAAAAATTGGCATTTTTTTTTTCTCTTCAAAAGCAGAAGCACCAGTCTTACATATAACATACTGTTTGAATGATATCTTACATGGAATACAGTGTAATACAATGTGCAAACAGCATTTTCATACAGAACGTAATATTTGTCTAGTCTTTATACACTGAAACCGCCTCAAATGGAAACACGTTCATGCTGAATTAAAAATGTAGATTTTAAAAACCAAAGTCAAATCAAAATATGAAGTTCTGTTGGAATAGGTACATGAACCATTAAAAACAATGAGAAGCCAAAATAGAGGGTATTTTCAGATAAATATAATTAGTGCTCAGTTTGTCCCATTCCATCAAAAAGTAAACAGTTAATATTTTTGCTAGAAAGTAAAGTGACGTTCTAATATTTAAGAATTCTTCAAAATGTTGGTATCATTTTAATGATGTAAAAATCAAGTCAGAAATAGGACTTCCAAAAATTTCTTATTTTTGAATCACTGCAATTATTGTGTGTGGGCTGTGAAAAGAGATGAAGTCCAATGGAGTGAATATGCATCAGCATCAACATCATGTGACTTCTGCAAAGGCCGTGATGTGGTTCTGCGAGTTAAAGGAAAAACAAACAGATAAAACCCCAGAAACCACACAGATAGACATCAGTTGCCATTGTGAAATTTTTTGTCTCATGCTCTAGGGACAGCCTTATGCCTGAAGACTATTGCAGGATGATAAAAACAAAACTGGTTTTAACTGCAGTGCTCTCATTTGCTCCCATAGCAATTCTTTGTTGACCGCTTGAAGACTCAATATGGAAGTACGCTGAATAAAGTAATTAGGTGTGATGGTTCTACAATATTTTAGTTTTAGATGGGGCTTTTAAAATTAAGTAACAATGTGAATAATTGAGTTAGCTGTACTTTTATTGGTACCTTATTCATAATTTAAAGCAAAATTCCTAGAAATTAAAGTTACAGTTTATGTCAGATTATAATATTCTATTTCAGTGTTAATACAATTTTAATGTTGCATTTTTTTTAAAGATTAATTGCTCCTCATGAGCTTGATGGCACAGAATCAAGTAGCAAAATGTTACAACAAAATTGCATTCAGAAGTTGAGAACTCATATTCAAAATTTGTTTCTCAGAATCACTACAGTGTCCTCTTCATTTCCAAGATTATTCTCCTCTTTCCTTCAACAGGACAATTCTTATGAACATGAAGATGCATATCAGAATGTGAACATTCTACCTGTGACTTCACACAGTAAAAATGCAGCATCCCAAAGAGCTTTGCTGCTTTTTTATGCTCGTACCTAAGCAAGTGCCTCTGTAAACATTTGGTAGATGAAGACTCAACTGCAGAGGGATGGATGTGCAGGATCCAAAAGGAACTGCACATTCCCTTTAGGCACACAGTACCCTTGATTACCACCATTTTTTTATAAAACATGCAATGTGTAAAATTAGCAAAGGGAATCTTGATGTCAAGCCACATGTTTGTTCCCCAGCACAATAATGCACAGAGGGAAATAGTACCACACAAAGCACTGCAGATTTTTCTCATCACCTCCCCTCCTGGAGCAGACCAAAGTCAGGAAAGAGGTGGTGTAAGCTGAAGAGGAGGGGGGGATGTAGATAACTCATGGACAGTGGGATAGATCTCCTTTTTTTTGCTTAAGGGAAGTTGTTGTAAGTCCTTCAGAAAAATCCCTTATCACACACCATAGAAAGTGCGGGAGAGAAACAGTGGCCACCACACAAGTTTATATTTCTCAGTTCTTCTTTAAACTGTCTGGATATTTGTCTGTGCAGGGGGTGGGACAGGCAGGCATCTTTGATTTTCACATCACAGAAAGAATTCAAAAGTACGCTGAGTGGGAGCACAGGAGAGCTGTCTCCTGTTCCCCTCTCTCCAAACAAGGGTGGCAGCTTTGCTTCCTCTCTGCTATAACTGTGGTGTGTCCAGGAGGAGGAGCTCTCTCCCCCCTCCCCTATAACATGCATTTTAGCTCTAGTTCTTGCTGTATTTTATGACAGCTTTCATAAGGGAACACCACCAAATAGTAATGTACATTCTTCTCCAAAAGTGAATATATTTTAAATAAGTAACAATGATTAAATCACAGCCAGAACATTTTTTAAAAAGCACTAGGAAAAAAAAAATCATAGTGGAACTTTCTGTGAAAATGTTTTCAGTAAACAATATTAGCAAATGTAATTGTTTCCAGATTTTGATTCTGCAGAAGAAAAGCAAAATTAGATTTCCTAATTAGAAAACAAAACGTTAACATTTCAAAGCATTTTAGTTGGCTGGTCAACTTCTGCTTTCAGTACAGGAGAGATGATACATTAGGCAACCTCAATGACTCTGGAGTTGCTGTGAGGCTATTATGACATTTTCCTCACAGAATTTACTTTATTTTTCCTTATTTAGACCTGAAAATTATCCTGTCAACTTAAACTAGCATCAGTCTAAAATTATTCACTTTGTTGATATGTAAGACAGTTTAAAAATGAGGAATTACAGGAAAAAAAAATCCTCGTTATTTATTCTAATCAGTTCATTCAAGTCCTGCTGTGTGCTATCTCTTTCTCTATGTGACATACATTTGTCTGTGATGCAGAGAACCAAATGCTCTTTCATGTGGCATTAATTCAGGACTGGATAACTATTCCTTAGGAAAGGAGAATGTGGTTCACACTCCTGCCAGCTATACTTCCAAAATGAGCAGGTTACCATCCTTGAAAGGACGTGCAGAGCATGGGATATAATAACACAGAAAAAAACCAACCCTTCCTCAATAAACCCTCAGAGAGAACCACTAAGCTACTGATCGCAGAGCTATTGATTTGGACCCTAGTGAAGACTTGTCAATTCATTTCCAATGGACTCAGCAGGGTGATGCATAACTAGGTCAAAATTAATCACTTGCTGATGGCAAGAATCACTGATACAGATTCAGGCAACTGTCTGGGTATTCACGCTTTTCATATGTTATTATTTCAGGGAAAAGTACAAATAAGCCTTGCTGAGATTCTTTACAGAAAAAAAACAAACAGTATCCCTCTAGAACAACTGCATTTCAACTCTTTTACTATGCTTTTTTACTTCTGCTTAGATTTACTGTGACAAAGTTCAGCGTGAGATACTAACCACCGTCAGCAAACAGATTCACGCAGATGCAGGAGACAAGCAAAAAGCCATGCACAAGACCTCAGCTTCTCCAGCTCCATGGGAAATGACTTTCCCCGCAGTACTCAAAAGAATTAGAATACGCTGAGGGTCTGCTCAAAAGCAGCAGTTTCACAGACAGGCACACCAGCTTTTGTATTACTCATTCTAAACGGACAGTATCAGTTTGGTGTCAGCACCACGTGTACAAAGCATGCTCATAACCGTGCTCTCACACCATTAACAGAAAAATGAAAGCTAAAGGCTAAGCCTTGAGTGCAGGTTTCTGAGGGGAAATGATCCATACCTGTATATCTTCTGTTAAGTTTTTAATTAATTTCTGTTTATAAGCGATTCTATAATGTTAAATCATTGAAAAAAATCCATAAAACTTTTCTGCGCTTTGCAGTTTTTGCTCTCATGAATACATTTAGACATATTCAAAACTAATCATCATCCTAAAAAAGATTATTCCATTTTTGAAAACAGGAATTTGAAAAATTGTTCGTAGTCCTTCATACATTGGAGTTTGTTAAAAGAAATAGGAAAATACTACTGTAGTAGTTCAGGCAAACAATAATTTATCATACAGTTCTCTGGGTCAGCAAAGTATATTTTCTGCTTTTACTGGACGAATCACATTTTTAGAGAAAAGAATGAGTTCAAGCGAAATTCCCCATTTAAAACATTGCAGACCTGCACAGAACGCTGCCGCCACACTGCATCTGCCTTTGCTTCAAATCCACACACACACACTCATGTGCGCTCTTGCGCACATACATTTATTGCCTTATATGAAGATGCTCAAAACGGTCCATTCCTGATATCCAGGAGAAGAACCTAATGATGCGTGCTTTGAGGGAGTTTCGTTGCAAAGGATCTTCTTGATTGTTACTAATCCCTTGATTCCGTAACGCCTACAACACGTATATTTGAGGAGGTCACACTGAATGTATTGTTCCATGTCCTGTGTTTAAGTCTCATTTTATCTGAACATTCGATGTGGTGATCACAGTTTGCATTCAAACAGAAATAATTCTTGTACAGTCCCCCAGAACTAGAGTTAAGCAGAAGCGTAGGGCATGAATGCAAATTCAAATGCTTGACATTGAAACAAAATTGCTTATGATCTTTTATGAGCTGCCTCTCCTGGGTATGTGTTTCTGTGCGTGAAACAATGCTGTAATATATCTCCTTTAACATACCGTATTATCAAGAGACACGTATCATGACAACAGAAATCTGAAAACTTGCCTATAAGCTAATGCAAGCACGCAGACTCTAGTCAAGCCGTCCTGGAGATACACATACACGTATCAAAACGCTGTATGGATAACTATGTACACTTTTGGACATCAAGCACAACAGTGTTTGGATACTTCTCAGCTGAAATATTTTTGAGTAACAGAAGTAGGTACAAACTCTTCCCCTCATTTGCCCACAGTATGATGAGCTAAAACATCTTTGCGTTTTGCTTTTAGCCTGTGAGCTCAGCGATGGGCGATCAGTCTCCCTGGAGAGCCCCAGGGACCGGACCGGACCCCCTAGGCTGTGCTGTGTACACACAAGTTCACATACCAATGAAAGACGACTTAGTACCAAAATGCTTAAGACTACGGAAAAAGCAGTAACACTGGGAATTAAAATTAAAAATACCCTTCTCTGACACTGTGAAGAAGCTGTTCTATGTCTTGTGAATAATCAAGATGGAGTAAACAGAAAAAAACATTATACTTTAAAAACAGAAGGGGGAAACTGTCTCAGTCTCAAAATACTATCGGAATCCATTGCAATATCTATACTTACTATTGATAAAACGTTTTATCACCACTATTACCTTTGGCCCATAAACAACAGAACAAGAATTATAGTGCCAAACTCAAGATTTTTGAGACAATTAACCCTAATAGTCACTGGCAATTGGTATGATAAGCAACAAGAATGTCACATATTGTGAGAGGAATTCCAAATACTTCTCACTATTAAAAACTTAGAAATGGCTGTGTCAGAGAGAGGGAGGGGCAGAGAGAGAGGGGCCATAAACTATCCGCTTCTAGTTCACAGTCATGCTGGAGAGTCTGTCCTATGGGTGGAGTATAAGAAACCTCATTGTAACAAGGAACAGTGAGTGTGTTTGGGAACATGGTTTGGGCATTGCTGGCAGAAGTAGCACTATGAAGGAATGCCAAGCAGAGCCTTTGGGGATAAATGCAGCTTAGCTGTCAAGCACAGCACTGCAAAGAACCCACTGTACAAATAAGTAATATTGAACAGCTACAGAAAGCACGGATGATCAGACACGGTAATTGTCTCATTCCACAGGAGATGTACCACAGTGCATCTCCTAACCCAACACTTCCTCCTAAAACCTCTTATCTCAGTATTCTATCTACTGCCTCAATTAGTCCTAAAATGTTCCGTGTTCCCTTTGTATTTGAATTTTTCCAAAGCTAGAATACTTATTAAAAAAAAAAAAAAAAAAGAAGGTTATGAGAGTCAGCAACTACTACAAGACGCTTAGGAGCCCTCTGTAAGCCCTTGCCAATTTCAGGTGACTTCAGCGTGAAATAATGTCAGTCTCCCCTGAAAGAGAAAAAATAGTTTGTGACTGCACTGGATGAAGCTGAACTTTAAACTCTTCCACGTACCACCCAAAATAACTCTATTTCCCAGTAACTCTTGCAAAAGAACAGGAGTCTCTAACCTTCACTGTGGTAGGAAGAGAGCCTCCTCTCTCTCTATAGGAGAGTGCCAGCTAACTGAAACACGAATTGTCTTGTAAGAGATGAAGAAGGTCAGAGATAGGAGAGAAAAAGGAGCAGATGGGTGAGTGATGAGGTTTCTTGGCTTTCATTCTTTTCATTAATTCTGAGGATGGATGTAGTTAAGGTGAAAGCAATAAGTCTGCATTGCTGAGCCAGCTCTGGCAAGGATTCTTCAAGGAGACACTCTGCAACTACGGCTTATTTGAGTGCATGAGAAGTGGGTACCCGTGCAGAACAGCTTAATCATCTGCATGCACCACAATTAAACAGAAGTGCCATGCAAACAGAGATCTACCCTTGTCATTAACCAGCAGCAGCTCAATTCAGAATATTACAAGTACACATATTCCTCTTTAAGTGCACTTCAAATGTAGCTCTTGACCTCCACCAGAACTCAGACAGTGGCAGCACGGAGAGCATGCCAAGCATGCCAAAAGCATTCGTTCTCCAGCAGGAAAAAGCACTGGAATAGCAAGTAGCAGATCTGGAAGCACAAAAATAAGGTGCTTCCAGGTCTGTGTGATGCACCATGTGCTTATTCATTTATGGGTGAATTTATAACAAAATTGATATGAGTGAGGTCGCATCTGGTAGACATTTCTAATGAAGTCATGCTTTAAAATAGCATCTTTGAATTGCTCGCTTCCAGATACCCATATAGCTATTATTTTTAAATATCAGTAAGAGAATAGCATTGCTTCATGCCAGCACTGCCTTAGCCCATTACAACTTGAGTCAGTCAGGATTTGTGCTACTCTCAGTAGCTAATTTCTGACAGTAAACTGTCTTTAATACTGACACAGGAGCTTGCAGATTGAGAATAACGAAAAACAGATTTTAAATAAGCCAAATGTAAATGTCTGTACATTCAGACTATGGAACTGGAACAGCCCTAACTGAAATGTAGTGAAAAGTAACCTGCACATGGCTAAAGCAGTCAAAGACAAGTAGCACACAAATTATTTAGCACCCCTCTCTCTCCAGAGAACAACGAATGTAAAATAAGAAGGAAGTTAAAAAGCAAAGACTAAGCTAACAATTCTTGTAGCGATGGTAGTCAATTGAGATGGCTCAATTTAGACCTTAGTTCCATGTAAGTATTACTCTTAGTGCCTTTTATTTAACAGGGTCTGGCTTCTATCTAAAACTTTAGACTAAATATTAAAAAAAAAAAAAAAGAAAAGAAAAAATCCACAAAAACTCAACACCTAAAGCACTCACATGCAAGTAACTTTTTAATCAATTATTTGCTAATTCAAATTTAAACTTTCTGAGAGTGGCATTTCCCAACAAATAGCAAAGTCTCCAAATAATCATCTTCCCATCTCATCCTCTCTTTCTGACACGGAGAAAGGCTTTGCAAGATAGACAAAGATAAACCCATACACTGAGATCTCTCCAACTGTAACACCCTGTGGACAGTCCTCGATTTAATTAGCTAGAAAGGAGTTCCATGACAGCAAACAGCTACCCTCTACTGCCACAGAAATATGGGTGCAGATGGAAAGACGCTGGTTCACATAATAGAGTCACAAATAGTAGAGGTCATCCTCAAGCAGAGCAAACATTATTCCTGCCACCACCCTTTCACACTCTCCCATAGCTTTCCCCACAACATCTCAATCTTGCTTAGGCCAAGTCTCAGGAAAAGAACATTGTTCATCATGAGCGAGAGGGTGTCAAATCAGGTAGAAACACTAATTTAACATGAGGTCTTTATCACCAGAAAAAAAATTAAAAATATGAACAGCCAGAGAATGTGCATTTATTACCTATGATGGCTTTTGAGCCACAGAAATGGCTTCTATTGCAGAGAGCCTAGCACATTACTAAGACATGCTCTTATTAATGCAGTATGTCCTAAGCCAACTGACATCTTGTTTTGTTTTGACATTTTACAGAAAGTTTACTGAATGGATTATTTTGAAGATACACATTCATCATCTAAATGCTTGTTCAAGCAAATGAGACTGACCTCCTTATGACAAGATATCAGCAGAAGTAGCTTAGACACATTTGGTTCAAAAAGGTGTATTAGATCATTCTGAAAAAAAATCTTTCCCTTCAAGGAAAGGAGTAACAAAGCCAGGGCTAGGAGTATTTCTTACCAAAGGACAACTTCCACCACTTCCAAATGACTAAGATAGACTGGGAAGTGGTTACAAACATTTCTTCTTACACTTAATATGAAAAAAACATCAGCAGTAATTTGGATTTCAAAGAATGCCATAGAAACACACTTTTGGTGCCCTGCCCAGTGTAGAATTGCTTACTATCTTCGAACACCAGTGTAACACAAGAGATTTTAACAAATAATGACAGATAAGGACGAGGGGTAATGGGCATAAACTTGAACAGAGGAAGTTCCATCTTAACATGAGAAGGAACTTCTTTACTTTGAGGGTAGTGGAGCACTGGAACAGGCTGCCCAGAGAGGTGGTGGAGTCTCCCACTCTGGAGACATTCAAAACCCGCCTGGACGCTGTCCTGTGTAACGTGCTGTAGGTGACCCTGCTCTGGCAGGAGGGTTGGACTAGATGATCTCCAGAGGTCCCTTCCAACCCTAACAATTCTGTGAATTCTGTGAATTCTGTATAAAGTCATTAGAAAAAACTAGATTTGCTTTCAAACTTTCCCCCTGGTAAAAATGCCTAAAATGTTTTATTTGGTTATGCTATCTATTTCAGTGCTTGTTTGCTCGTAAAATTGTTCAGACATAATCTTACCTAACACATAGTACAACATCACCTTCAAAAAACGAATCTTTATTACAGGAAACTAAAATAAATTTTAAACACATTACCATACTTACTCACGCAAAAAGTCTTTGCATACCCAGGAGACTATTGCTAGCACGTCCTAGTCTAAAATCCCATTTGCTGTGGCAAGAGATCATGGCTTTCATGCAGTTACTGTATGACCCATGTTACTCTCCAGTATTATCACGTTAAGTTGTTTGCCCTGCTAGCGCAGATGTCAGATTCCCAGCATTTCCAAGTGGGTGCCTGTCCTGAGGCTAGCATGTACCTGATGAGAAAAGCCCCACAGCTGATCCAGAAGGAACTGCATCCCATGCTCCACACTAGCCTGAGGACATACCCCAGAGAAATACGACAAATGTCACTTGTACCTGAATTGCACAATCCCTTGGGCTCAGGGGTTAGATTTTCTTTCTAAGCACTTCAAGTTCTGTGGACTCTCAGCCAAAGCATTATTTAAACTTACTTGAGGAACACAAGGAAAGACGCCTCATATCTACTCAGCCTGACTCCATGGACTTAGCAGTGGCTACAGCAGTAAACTGGACTGATATGTAGAGATTGTTCTTGAAGGTGACATGAAGAGTCTCCCAAGGAGTGTCTCTGAATTAATTCTTCCCTTCTTTCTCCTTCACTGCCATGTACCCATACTCTAAATCTAATTACCTTGGCACTCTTGTCAAAATAGTTTGGGACCATCCTTCCAGGAAAGCTACATTTTATTTGTCTTTAAAAAAAGTCAGACATTACCTTTTCTAAAGGGCTTTCTACTCGGGGTATGCTGATCATAGGCATCTGGGCCAGATTATCCATGTGAGAATGTTCATGTTCTGGCTGACGTCCTCTGAAGTTATTTACCACACAAACAACCTAGAAGGGAATAGAAGATAAACAGAATAGCTAAGGAACAACTCATTTTTTTGAGCTTTGATCCTGACATCCATAATGAGGCAGAACTGACACCAGCTTTTGTCACAGATTGCAGTAGAAACACACAAATGCGAAGTTCATGTTCTACAGGAAATCCTTAATTAATATTTCAAGACAAAAGATTTACAACCAATTTATTGTTACATGCATCATCTGAGAACCAAAAAAAACCCCTTATATAAAAGCAAATTCATCACTGCAGCTGCATAATAGAATACCAATTATTAGCAATGTCATGAATAGATGCCCAGAGCACGTGCAGCAGAATATGGCAATAGCTTTAAAGTCCTATGAAGGGCCAGTACCATCTAAGTTTTGAACAGCCAAAACTTTCTCAAGTAGAGAGCGAGAAAGGGAGAATAAGAAGGCAAGGATCATCCCCAGGTTTGAACTAAACTCTACACCTGCTTAGGGGAGCAGTGACTCTCGCACAGGGATTTAGGAATGTGATATATACTGGTTTGTTAGTGTTTCTACTAATTCAGACACTCAGCAGAGCAGCAATGTTTACTCATTGTATCTTCAAAACACAATTAAACTTGATGTCATGCTACTTGACGGAGTTCATGCAATATACACCACAAAATATATGAAAAAATGCTGGGACAGATTTCTTTTCTGTTCTGTTGTCTTTTATGACTTTAGGGGCACAAACAGAATGGAAAAACTTCTTAAAAATGAACAACTAAATATTGGACACCTTGTATGGAAGGGAACGTTTGGAAGTGTGAGCAGCTATATTTTAAAGGAGACCTAAAGCTGCACTCACATTCCTCAGAGGAGTGAAGACACCCACCTCAGCCATCCCTGTGAGAGTTCTCAGCTAAGCCAAGTCTTCAGATCCAAGATCTTGAGATCAAGACCTTGAGATCCAAGAATCAAGCTCAAAAGTATTTTCATGTGGAAAAAATTCAAAGGTGTATTAAGTACTATTACAAGCTCCCAGGCAGTCAAACCTGCAGGCAGTAAACAGCAGTGACTAGTCTATGCCATAGTCTTGCACTGAAGTTATCAGTGAAGGTGATTAATAGATCAGCGGCAGCTTTCTGACACAGACACTAGTCATCATGAACTGTGACTAACCATCTGGTTTTGGAACACAGTTCCAGAAAAGGAAAAGGCTAAATAAGGAATTTTTTGATACAGAAAAACATAAATTTTCAATGTAAACCTGAAAGAAATTCAATAGTTACTCTAAAGCCAGAAAATAAATGCTGCTTATTCTCTGATCGGTGTAGGTATCACTGTACCGAATTTAATACTTTATACATGAAATCATAACTAGATGTTATTCTGAAGGATATACACTTGCTTAAAGTGGGGCTTGATGCAAAAATTCTTGGTTGAAATGCTACAGTCTGGTTTATAATAAAGTCAAAAGAGATCATTTGATGAGTCCTTCCTTGACTTCACATTTCTGAGTGCATGTAAATATAACTAAGAAAACCGATAATTAATTAAAAACAAAAATTAGAAACACTTCTTCTGTCATTCAGCTGTCTGAAAAGTCAAGGCTACCAATATTTTTTTAAGAGATACAAAGTTATAGACTGATTTTTTCAAACAGAAGTGACACAGATATACACTTACCAAAAATACTGCTATAGATATTCCAATTATAAATCCTGCTATTACATCTGACCAGTGATTTCGATACTCTGCTACTCTGTTGATTCCAGTAAGGAAAGCCAAGCACATTAAGCCCAAACACAGAACAGGTTTTGCAAGCCTTGTTCCTCTGGCTTTTACTGTGTTGGTGATATACATCTGAAAATTAGAAAGGAATAAAGTATGAGACTGATGGAGATCTCCCACTAATTGGTGAATAAAATCTCCACATTTTGTTGAAACAAACTATGTGTATTTCGCATTTTTTTAGGTAAAGAAACAAGTAAGTAGAGTGCTAGATAAAGTCATCACACCCTTTTCCTAGGGATGTAGAAAAAGAATTAGACCATACAGCAGAATTACATTTCATGTGAACCTGAAAAGCCCCTAAAAGAACAAGCAAATTAGGCAATTCTATCCTATTATTCCCAATCTATGAATTTATTTATGCAGAGAGGTAAAGAGACTGAGTTTTCACTAGGCAGTGTTGACAACAATAAAAGAAGATCTTTCCCCTGAAAAGGTAAAGCAAAGGCCTTTCTTCCTCATACGCAACTTCTCCATGTGATTAACTCTATGAGATTTTTCAAAAAGCAGTGAAAATTGAACTAAATGCCTGCATCTGCTTTTATAAATAATGTGTAATAGTTTCAACCAGTGCTGAACCAATACACCCCTGTACTTCACAGATGGTGACTGAGAATGTTTAGTACCAATCCCCCCCAGCACACAAAGCAATCTAAATGCAGAAACTTTTATGATTCAAACTCTGAGAAATCAATCTGCCCTGCTTGCAGTCTAACTCTCCCTGTGCAATACTACTGAATTAAAAGCACTGCCTGATGACAGAGCTGCTCTTCTGCCCTAAGGGTGCATTAGTGACTACTAGGTTTAAGCCAGCACTTTCCAAGCTCTGATGTGACAATGGAAGAAACGAATACCAAAGCTTGGAATTTCCCTTCTCTTGAATCTTGTCGTTAAGGCCGCTTGAAAGTTCCCCACTGAAAAATTATACTTCAACTAACAAGATTTTTGAGAAAAAAAGTATTTACTTTCTGCAGAAGATGTTTCTGCAGTTAAACCACTGAAATCCCTAAACCCTTCACATTTAGACAGAGAGTTGAAGTTTTTAGATTGAAGAATGCAAATATTTTCTATGGAGTTTCACTGGAGACTCCAAGTGTGTAATCCCATCACTTTGAACTGCAAAGGGAAACAGATGAATCTGCATTGAAGAACCAGAACCTTTTTGGCCAAGAACCGGGTAGTCCTTTGGGTTTTTTTGTAGTGTCTGAAACTTCAGCTGAATTTACTGGGTAACCAGTTACGAAATGCTGCAATAATCCAGTTATTCCAAGAAGAAGTTTAGGAAGCGTGGTTACAGTTACTATAAATTAAGTGAAGTAGTGGTCAGAGCTTGTCTGAAAAGAGCAACACCTGCCAGTAATTTGGTTCAAAACACTGGAGAAAGGTCCATGGCTTAGAGGACAAATCAACGCTTAAGCTTAAAATCACAGCAGAGTACTGCAACACATACATCTTCCGTGGACCTTACATGATGAACGGCAAATTAGTAGCAAGCTTTCAACTAATGCAGATAGAGCAACGGTTTGAAAAGAAGAATTTTGGGTTGTATCTCCAAACCGTATTTCTCCTCTCTTCTTCCTAGACCATTTAAGAAACAGTGTTTCTCCCCTTGCTGACTATCCTTTTATCTCAGCTCCTCATATTTTTGCAGACTCTCTTCAGTGAGTTACTCTTACCACGTGGAATGCTGGTAAGACAACTGCAACTTTCATTCCCATCTTTTTAGGCCCACTGTTTTCTTCAAGCTACAGACAGAGAAGTACATGCTGAGTTACTCAGCACCACTCTGTTTTACTGACTCTCATCCTACTCCTGGATACATTAGAACATCTGGTGCTGGGGAAAATATTCTAATATTTTGAATATATAGCATATCACTAAATTTCAAATACAGCTTGGGTGAATTTGACACAGGGAAGTTGACAGGGAGCTATCCTGCATTTAATTCTGTATTGTGGCATATTAAATCAAAATGACTACAGAGAAGGACAAATCAACTCAAAAAAGAGTGTAGTTTGCTTAAGGGAGATCTCAGTGATATATTTCAGTAATCTGTAACACTGGGTCATCACCCAAAAAGTTTATCTCAATTTTTTTGAGGTCAAAACACATTACAATACAAATACTCGACTCTGCAGTATTTCAGTCAAACTTCAACATTTTTAATACAAAGCTAAACTGAAAAGTGCCCTGCAGAAAATTCTCAGAATCTTTTCACAATCAAGCATGTCCTTCAAATCCCTACTCAGATAAAGCACTGAGTGAGCAGAAACATCTGCAGACTCATGCTGTGCCTCACATGAGTAATAACGACCTCCATTTGCTGAGTCCCTTCCTATATGTGCAGTCAAGATTGTCTTGCCCAGTCCATTATTCACAATAACCTGAGGGTTTTTCCAGCATTTCTATCTTTTCTTTAAAGAACAGACACCACTGATGTTAAGAATAGTCTTATATTAAAATACATATTAAAGAATCTGTTGAAATAGGGTAAACTTTTCCTGAAACAGTGTAGCAAAAAGTCTATATATTTGCAAAATTCTACAAATGTAGACTCTTCCAAGGCAGGATTCATAGGTGTCCACTTTCAAACTTGACCTCTTGCAGCTCTAGTACACTATTTTAACACAGCCAACTCAGTCAAAGATCTGATTTGCATTAAGAGTAAGAAAATAATTAAGCAGATGTTTTCTTCTCGATTCTGGAAGAAAAGCTACAAACCAGCACAGTCGGTAATTGACAAAGAATAAACATCCTGAAAAGATGACAGCATTTTTCTCCTCTTACTTTTCATAAATATTAAATGCAGTATCAACAAAGGAAAATAGCTCAGTGATTTAAATGAGAATTAATGACAATATACATTTTTACACGGCTAAAGATGTTTACTGAACAAGAATATCTCAGTTCCTTTTAAGAACAGAAATTGGGAGAGGAGGAATCTAATTAAAGAAATATTTTAAATTAGTCAACAACAACAACAACCAACAGCAGTAAGATTCTGTATATAAGGTCAAGGATTGATACAGTAGTTAGAATTAATTTTGAAGGCTGCACATTTTCCTGCAACATCAGATCAATGGTGAATCTTCTCTTGAAGAACTTCTGCTATTGCTTTTCCTTTTTCCTGCAATAAAATTTTAGTATGAAAAGATATAAAGATGATACCAGCAAGGAAACACTGGCAGAGAGTCACTCACATAAGGAGGTGGATGTTATCTCAATATTCTACATACCAATATTTACTAGATTTCCAGGAAAACACAAACATTTTACCTTCAGTCTTCAAGATGCTGGAAGCAAATTGTTCAGAGAACCTCATAAACTGAAAGTAAAATTTCAATTGAAGTTGTTTTAACAAAATGTAATTGAAAGAGTCAGAATCACCACCATTCACCACCGAAGACAAAGCAACCTGTGTGGTTTCTGACATGACCGTCTCAGGTCCCAACATAGTGAATAATCATAGCGTTGGCACTTAGCTTGTACTGGGAAAGCTTTCAGAAGTGTCATGTTGCAAGTCTGACTTATGTATAATAGGTCCTAAATCTAGTGCAAACAAAATGATTCCAAAACACGTAAGAGAAGAACAGGAATTGTATGTCAAGTGCAGGACAAAGTGGCCTTCTGGGCTATGCTGCGAGCTCTTCCTAGTCGTCTTCTTTCAGCTATCTTTAGGCTCACCCACACAAACGACTATGCACACAAACAAACACAGACATAACAGGTCCCAGAGTCCCATTTTAGTTAGTGGAGCGAGTCATCAGTCTGGGTGCACCAGCCAGGAGGCAGGTTAATTTTCCTAGCTGATTTCATCAGCCTGGGGCCCAGGGATGCAGGGAGGAAGATCCTCTGTGCTTGCTGTTTCGGTCCTCCCTGAAGCAGATGGTCTGGGGGACTGACAAAGAGACAGACCAGTCCGTTAGTGGGCAGAGAATAATGACTCATGGAGCGACAAGCAGAAAGAGGAAGGAATCACTGTACAGGCACCTATCCCAGGCAGCGCTCCAAATCTAAATTATCTCATGTTTTGTTTTGCTTTTATAATGTGCTATCATCAAAGAAAGAATCTTGAACTATGCAAGTAATATAAGTAATGCACAACTTTCAACATTCATCATACCTACAAGAAAAGAGATACTCAGAGATCAAAAAGCTGAAAAAGTAGTGGGCTATAGTGGACGGTAGTCTATAACCAGGTTCAAAGTTTAGTTACAATCCTGTTTGATAGTCTAAAAGCCCTTCAGTTTCCTTAATTAATAATTACTCGGTCAAATTATTACTAGAGCAAACCACAGTCATACTCTCAAATCATCTGGGCCTTTCTGCAGCTGACCACTGGAGATTTTTTTAGTGCTTTTGAAGCCTCCTCCAACTTTCTCCGTAAGTTTTGCAGTAATTATTGACGACTCTAGACAAAAATTTGCTTTCAAAGTCAGGGGTTTGGGTAAGCAAAGGAAGAGAGAGCTCTAGAAATGCTGGACCTTACTATTAAGTTTTCCACTACAAGCTCCCCACAGTCGTAACTCCAAACAACTGGAGAAGGAAAGAGGTATCCTTCAGTGTACCAGCACCGTAAGATACACCTAAATATTAATTAAAGCTGACTCAGTCTACAGAGGTCATTGTCTTGAACAACTGAATTGTAATGAAGAGCTGACAGACGAGAAATATCTAGAGGTCTTTAGGTAAGTCCCCTGGATCAAATTGTAATGTCATTTTACTACCCAGCCTGAAAGTAACTAATACACCCAATATATGAAGCCCGTGATATAAGCTGTACAGTCAGTATCACGGGATACTTTTACTTGCTGCACCACGTACTGGAAATTCCACTTTCCTAACATTGCCCCTGAAAAGCAGCCAAAAGAATCCTTTAATTCTTCAATTTCCTAACAAAAAATGGACAACAAAGCCAACTCAATAAGGTGGCTCTGCTACTCCTTTTCCTCCTGAGCACTCCCTAAAGCCTAGAAAAGAGAGGCCTGCCATGCCTCCTCCAGCTGCCCATTGAGCATGAGCCAAACAGGCACTTCAAGGCGAAGGACAAGTGAGAGGAGGCCTCCATCCAAAGACTGGATCAAAGAGTGACACCGAGCAGAATATCACCACGTTGCCAGCACTTTGACCCAGACTGCCTTGCTGTCTTTTCCCAGTGACTTATAAACACAGCAAAGAGCAAAGACCATGAAGTAGAATGCCAGGAGCAAGAACCTTGCAGAAAAGATGGTCAGGGGCCCAACCAAAGCTCTGTAGAGAGGAAAAAAATTGTCAACTTTACCTGCTAGCCCTGCCTGAGGACGTACTTGAGGCCAAGGGTTCACAGGACAAAGCAACAAAAGCAGCCTAAAGACCTAATGGTTATGTCAATTACCAAAACATTAAACCTGCTCCTCTATCATTCCAAATTCAATGCAAGTCTGAAACATATGCGACAACACCAAGTTCAAACATCACCCTACAGACAGGTTGGCTGCCAACTACTCTTGTCCAATGCAACAAGAACAACAGAAAAGAAAAATTTCATAGAATTAAAATTTGTCTTAAACTACAACTATCAATGACCAATCCTCTAGGTCTGCAGCACCAAAGGATAACTGTTAGTCACAAGTCTCATATTTAAATCCATGGGAAGACTGACTAAATCTTCATATACCGCTTTGAAATCCTACCAAAAAAAGAGACTCATGACTTCTCATTCCTGTGCCTCAGTTGTGGAAAAAAATCCCAAGTATGTGCATAATTTGCTGCTTCAAAATATACCTCTAATTGTCCAGGTTGTGTCAACTTACGCATATCAGTGTGGCTTATACAATTATATTATATTTAATAAACTTGCAGCATTTGCCTTAATACCTGCGTTAGCAGATGTTGTTCCAGCTGAGAAAGCGTGAATTGCAATGCTGATAAGAAGTGAAAGCTGATGCAGTCAACTTATTAACCCAAGAAAAAAACAACAAACAAAAGGTCGAAGACGAGTTGAGCAGGCACCTAAGGAGAAATCCAGGTAGCAACCAGCTTGCTTAGAAATTTTGGAAAAGATTTACAGTAGTTCATTTTGAAGACTTTGATACACTGGGAAAAGTAAACTTAAAAGTCTGAAGACGACATGTACCAGATCCTTGAAAGTGTGTTTGGAGCAGGGTAGAGAAAACGCCTAACCATAATGCTGCCATTCAACATTTCCATTGCTAAGTCTTTCTGGATAGGTACTGAGAGAAAGTAATAGAGGCAAACACTACAGAGAGGTCTAAATATTAGCAATACAATTGTTTGAAAAAGACTGTACTTTCAGAAGGAGAGGAATTAAGAGTTACCATAGCAGCCACCCACTCTCAAAAGAAGGGAGGAGGAAAAAAGGAAGACTCAAGAACTTGGACGGAAAAAGAAGCTATTGTTAACAAGACAATATGCGCAGATGCTAGGTGATAAGGACATGGCTGCACTTAAACGGAACGAGATAGGGGAATTATTAGATAAAGAACAGGCTTTGTTTTTAAATGGGCTGATCGCTGAAATCACACAAGTCTGATGTTGTTTACTTTCGCCCCCTCAGAGAGCAAGGGCTCTGGATCAGCTTGCTGCCTGTTTGTGTCTTTAAGCTGGTTTTGGTTTGTGCACAGCTGGCTGAAATGTCCAGGGAGGATTCGTAACAATCCCTCCCTCTCTCCCAAATATTTCTGTTAACCAAAAAGAAAGCACATTTTGTATCAGAGATCATATGCTTATGAAATACTAGCTAGGTAATATACGGAGGTCTTTCTGTCTGTGCTCTCAATAACTGTTGTACCACAGCTCATACAAAGACTAGGCTACTGTTTAAATCTTCTACTCCAGTGAATAGAGATGAGAAAGTTGTTATTTGGGGCCAACTATCCTGATAAACATAATGACAGTGTAAGGACACGACCCCGAATATTGGAACATTGCATTTCTTTCCCTGGGGTGTAATAAACAGTATTTTTAGCTGCAACCATGCAACAGAATTAAAAAAATTAAAAAATAAAAGACCGCTAATGTTGTATCAAGGACCTAAATTTGCAGGCTACAACTCAGCAGATACATCACAGCAATTCACTTTATTAGGCAGCCTATAAGAATTCAGAAATCCTGTCAGCAGTTTATAGTACTTCAGTGAAATGACAGTTGTGCATCATGCTGCAATACAGTAATGACATACGATATATTCACTTCTGCAGTTACCGAAAGCTTATAAAGTCATTAAACAGAACACAGCAGTTTTAATTTTTGACACTGCTAACATTATATTGACCACAGACAACATAGGGTTTGCATAAAGTACTCTTGCTCATGTCAAAAGCCATTGATACTAGGTATTAGACCTCACTAATGTCTACTTTTTGTTTTTAAAAATGTATCAATACTATTTTCCTTCCTGCTTTTCAGTAGCTGAACAGTTGGTTTCCTTTAGTTACTGTGACTCATAGCAACAGTGGAAATCCAACTTTACAGATGGATGAGAAAAATAGGAGCAATTAAAATCAAGAATGCTGAATATTTTCTAAAATAGCTTGCACCAAATTTAGAGGTATGTTTCAGTGAAGCAAAGCCTTAGATATCTCCCCAAATAAAGACAATACTATTAGGAGTCTTACACTTGCCTCAAGTTAGAATAGAATTTTATTGCTCATCTCTTATTTGCAGATAACACTTGCCTGTACTAACTGATGATCCACCTCACTTAAGCAGACATTGCTCACAAGGAACTTTTGGTAAATGTTACTGTCAGTGCTGCAGATTTTAAGCAACTGGTTCTGAAACCATATTCAGAAGCATGGACTTGGCATGCTGCCTGTGGATGAGGTTGGGATCTTTGCCATGTTGGCAAGTATCAGTTTCCAGATCAATCAGGAATTAAAAGTCAGCTCACTAAATATATGCTCAAAAGCAATACACACTCACACACGTATATATACATGCATATATATGCATACATACATAAACACACATGCATAGGCAGGCCACTGTTCAAATACCAGCGGAATTTACAGGATGACTCTTGCAATGACCACAGAGGTACACACACTTGCCTAGTTTCCCTCCGACACTATGCGGGCAGCCCTGGGCCCCCGAAAGGGCTACAAAGGACTGTGATTACCAGCACAGATCAGGTAAGAGACCCCCACAGGCATGTGCTGAGGTCAACTTTACTAAGAACAAGATGTGCTTCTGCTTAAGACAAGAACCTCCAAACTAAGCCAGGGAGTACTGCACAGTTACTTGGGTGAGATTCATTAGTCACTCTGCCTCTCACCTGCCTCCCCGCACCTCTCAATAGCCTCTAGAACAGCTCTGATGTGAGGCAGTAAACACCAGTTTTTACCCTAGCCCTGCTCATTGCTCCCTAGATCAGAGGGGCGAGAAGGAAGAAGGGCTGGATTGTCTTGTAGCCCACTTCATTGCAGAATTAGAGCCAAACTGACTTTGCATGAGCACTGAGGTACCAAAAAATACCAATTCTGGTACCTAAAGACATGCACAGATCTCAGGAAACTTGCAGAGATCAGACACTTACATATGCCCACTCTTTGCTTCACCCCACCAAACAATATGGCCATGTGCAATTCTACTAATGTGCACTGGGTTAAAACATAGAAAGGAACCACTACCAGTCACTGGCAATCCTCACCCTTAGTCTTTACTACCCAACAAAACCTCATCCCACACTCTCTGCAAATGGGAAAAAAGTAAAGCAAGAACCTGGTTATCTTATATCTATAACCCTTTTTGGACAACTTGCCCTCTCTCAGCATTGCCTTAGCTTTAAAGGCTCGGAAAACCACTACATCTGTAATTGCCAGAATTAAGTCCAATAAACCAAATTCTCAAAGGCCTCACGGTAACTCATAGAAGGTTTACACATACAAATCAGCCAATAGTTGTCTTATCTTCTCCCCATTCCTCCCTCCTCCCCTCACAGTGCGAGCCATTTGCTCTCAAAAATATAGTGACATTAAATAGTACAATATACTTACAGCCAGATACATAGCTGCATATACGCTTAGTGCTGCTTCTTTGGATGGGAATGTCTTTCTGGCTTTCATGATAAGGTCTGGATTTCCAGTACAGGCATGTACGCTACTGATGAATTGTGTATACTGTTTACATCCAAGTGCTGTATAGTTGGGTTTACAAAGTGCAAGAAAATGTGGTGCAAGATTCCCTGTTACTACTTGTCCAGCATTTACAAAGATGTCCGTAGCAAACAGTCCAAATGCGTAAATTCCTAAAGAGGGAAACAAAGAGTTAAATTTCCCGACAATTTCACTCAAGGGCAACATATTATAATATTTATCATAGTAATATACCAGGTTCTTCCATTTAAGAACATGAAAAACCCTCATGCTTATTGTACCCTAAAGATCCTGGCTGACATTGGAAATGGTACTTTCCTACACAACCGCAGCAGCAACACTGCGATGGGCCCACACACCTCCTCTCTCTCCATCCTTTGGAGCAGCACACACATCTCTTGTGTAAGTAGCCCGCGCTCCTAGGACCCCCAGCCACAAATTTCCCCTGTTCGGGGTAGATAGCTATACTGGTACCTAACTTTTGCCCATGTTCACTAAACAGAAGTGACAGAGGAAAATTCTTCACCCAATAAATTTGCCTGAGAACCGAAGAATTCAGGCCCTGATGGAGAAGTTGAAAAATCATAATACATACTGGTCAAACATTTTCTTTTCCCTTGCAGCTGTAAAGAAGCTGAAGTATTGAATAGTTCAATATTGCCATGCATGAGTTGTCTTCATCTGCCTGCTACTGGGTACATCTCTATGCATGGCATATTAATCACAGTATCAACACAGTGAGCTAAAGATCTAAACATTTGAGGAGCTACTCCTGCTAAAGAGGTTTTTTTAATCAGACATATCAGCAAAGCATTAAGTATGCGTACTCATTCATTAGAATGGAAATGCATGTATCTGATTACTTAAAAGAAAGTTTTCTGCTATTCTGAGGTCCTTTTCTATCCTTTTGGAACGAGAAAATGAGCTCTGGAAGGAAACACAAACAAAGCACCCTGACTGGGAGTCAAAGCCAGCAGGTGCGTGTTTAAATTCCACCTGAGCTACAGATTTTCTCCTGTATTTCCACGGGCAAATCACCTTATCTTTCCCATACTTCAATTCACTGTGAATATAACGTGAGTTCTGGCAGTTCCCAACTTCCCAACACGGGGCACCATGGGGACTTTAATGGATGTACACCACAGCAGACATGATGCCACAGAAACGTGCATTTCTAAAGGGCAGGTTTTGTCCTCAGCAAAGCTAGAGGACTGAGGAGGATTTCTGGGATCCTGGCTGGTCAGCAAAGTTACACTAACATTAATTCACCCTGAGCTGCGAGACACTGGTGAGCAGCGGACTGTGCCTAGTTCAGTCGCTGCACAGAAAGGACCTTTCAGCAAGCCCCAAGGGTGTGCACTGCCCCAACATAGGTGGCCACATCACTTTGTGTGAGCATGATGGGTAGTGAGTGATGCCTCATCTGGTAGAACAGTGCAGAGGCTGTTATTCACCCCTTCCCTCCCTCCCAATGTTGGGGGTTTTTTTGCATCTGTGAGGAAAGAGGGCCCATCAAGTGGGAAGGAAATGCGGGCACTGATTGAACACAGAGAAACTGGGGTGGGAGAGGCTCCTCATCATCACTCCCAACCTCCTTCGGACCTACACAAGACAGTCTCATTCGTAGTGACTTTTAGCCCTCCAGCGTGACAGCGAGCAACCGCTCTGTCAAGCGGCAGGCATGGCTGTTAGACAAACACTGCAAATACAGACACAGCTGCACATCCCCTCACTCCCCCTGCAACTGGGGCGCAAAGGAGGATTAGCTGAATGAAGCAAAGGCTTCATTCCTCCAGCTGTTTCTCTTAAATACAACTGTGAGTGAGAAGCAAACAACAGAACTGAGCCCTGCTATGGCATCCCTGCATGTATTAAAAAGCAGCATCTGGGAATATTCAGTAGACATTTTGAGTGGTGGTACTTCTCCCTCCAAACACATTTGCAATGAACTAAGTAGAAAGAATGACATCTCACATCTACTAAAGTCAGTGGGGGAGTTACAGCTGACATCAGTGGAGCATGGATTTTGTACAGTTTTCTACTAGAGACTATAATACAATCTCCAGGCTAATAAAGTACCTAAACCAGGCTTGACTTCAAACACACATTTATATCCCAATGTCTTCAACTTTGGCTACTATGTGTGTGCATAACGAAAAGTAAACTATCAACTACAGATATGGCACAAGGGTATCTCCCTTCTCCACTTCACCCTACTCCAGGCCTGCTGGTTGTTTTTCTCCCTTGTGTTCCCAATTTTTTCTATTCTTACCGCTGCTTCTGCAACTATTTTTTTATTCAAACCTCCAAAAAGCTTCATTTGCTACTCAAAAGGAGAGAACTCACTACACCTGAGTGAAGACTACACATTAAATGTTGTATAGTTATCTGAATAGGTCAAAAATTAAGACATGATTGATCACTCTCACCATTCAGAAAATGAAAGCATTAATTTTGCTCATACCAAGGAATCTGATGGTCCTGCGCACCAGTGGATTTATATAACAACAGTCTCCAGTTAATATTGTTTTTTCTTGGTTTTCAAAATCCTTTGTAGCTAACTGTAGACAAAACACTGCAGTTTCTCCAACGATAATCTTAGGGAAGGAGAAAAAAGGGGAGAGAAATGGCACATCAGATTACAGCAAGTAAAATACACTAATATCACAGAGATGGCTATCTCATCTTAAGGAAATAAGACCAAACCAGCACAAAAGACAACATAAGTGAACCAAGCTCTGTACGTTAATCTTCTTATGAGGGAAATATGCCTTATGGCTAGCTTTACTTTATTTGCATTAAAAAAGAATAAACTTTTATAACCAGGACTTGGAATCGACATAACATAACCTAGTTTTCAGGATGAGGAGAAAGAAAAAGAAATCTATTAGTTCAAGAAAAACAGATCGCATAATGCACAAGATGTGGACCAAAGTAAGGGCTTAATCCTGGAAGATGCTAACCATTTCAGTTCCCACGTGGCTTTCACTGACACAGCACTTCACAGGGTTGAGCTCTAAATTTTGGACCACAGAGGGGAGGAGGAGGGAAATCACGACAGAGCTCCTGTTCACATCAGAGGATTGGTTTGCCCGGAGGTACTTAACAGGGTTTGATTCGTATCTTGCCAGTTAAGTTTATCAAGTCTGCCTGTACCTTTTTTCCTCATGCTTGGACAAAGTGTCACCATGGATATGTTAACATTGAGGATGGCCTGTTTCACATTCATTACACCAAAATGAATAAAGCTCTCATGTCTATAAATCATTTACACTGCAGTTTGCAAAAAATTAAAAAAAAAATCACAAGTAAGAAAAGAAAAATATACATTTTGAATGTGAAATATCCCCTCTAAGGTGTGTATTTACCTGTACAGCAAAACATGACCTTTAATTTACTCATGACAATTACAGTATTGAGACCTAATAGCCCAAGCCAAGCCTTAAGTATGTGTCTATCTAAACCTATGATACTGAAGCTTTATAGCAGGCAGCACAGGTATGATCAAAAAGAGTAGAGCAGAAGAGTCAAATACTGACCACTGTATTCCAACTTTTGATTCACTGTGTGCAAGGCTTTTGCAATCTTCTATATGAAAAGCAGTAAAGCTTATCAATAAGTACATCACACTTTGATAAACAGGAATGAAGACCAGCAAACTGAAGTCTTAATACTACACAAATACAAGAAATAATGCCATCAAATCTGATTCATTGCCTAGGTTTTTCTAACCCTTTGACCTAACAGGAAATTATAAATCTTTTCAGATACCACAATAGGCCTGAACAGTTCTACACACAGCACTGATTACAAAAAAAAACATAATATGGGTGATGTCTCATAAACACAGTCTGTTGTCAACAGGAAGAATGCAATTAATGACCTTACTTAGTTATTTGTAGATCTACACAGATGACTTTGGGCCACACTGTGACACAGAGGAGGAAAGCGCTTCTTATAAATAATGTGGCACAAATAAAAATAACTGTGGTGGTGTGTAAAAGGCAAAATTCAGTTTGCCACAGAAACAGCCATCATCTATGACTTTAGACTGGCTTCAGATCGTAGAGGAATTTTTAGATGAAACAGAAATTTCAATATCTGAACTAACAAGTATCCTCTCTCTACTTTGATGCAAGCAAATTTTCAGCATACTGAAGTACAATTCCTTCATCTATAATTAACAAATGATTGGTACACGTATGAAATGAAACTCAACCTTGAATTCAAGGTCACCAAAATTATGACAATGATAAGGAGAATTCAGCCCAATGACCCCTACAGCTCTCAAGAAAAAAACCAAACCAAACCAAAACAAAACCCCCAGTTTTAATATGATTCATAAAGGTAAGAACTGAAATACTAAGATTTTTACTGTGAGTCACAATAACTCCCGTCTTTCCTCTGGAACAATGAAACATCAAGGACTAGGCAACCTGAACACAGCCAGAATCTGGTTTTGGTTTTTTTTTTTTTTGCCAAACTCAATGAATTTCAGTAAAATTGTTGCAGATTTCCAAACTCCAGGAACAAGCAGAATCCAGCACAAGGGAAGCATCTGGGATACACAGTGCTCAACCTTTTACAAGAACACAAAGAGAAAGTGGGGCCAGCAAGCTCAACTCTCCAGCTCTGAGCAGAGTCTCCGAGTCTGCTGATCCAAGAATAAGGGTTCTTCTTTTTGGCTGGTAGGGAAGCTGGGGGAAGCAAACAGGAGAACTGTTCATTCAGTTATAGGAAAGGAAATCCTCACTTCCAGCAACCTGTCTTCATCAGCTGCATCTAGGTCCCTGCTGCTGGCTACAATTTTCCCTTGTTACATTTCCTGTCTTTGATGGTGACCTGGATGAAGAAACCTCCTGCTCCAAGAATAGCAGGGAGAAGTGTTCAAGCTCTTAGCTGAACAAAAATACTCTTAGAGTGGGTACGTAGGTGCAAGGGTCAGAATGATGCAGAACTCAGCTAACGACAAAACTTTTGCTATACTAGACCTAGTGCTCTACCCTCAGAAGTAATCCGAGTGGGATATGCCATTGAGCACAACAGGCATTCATCTCTATGCTTCTGTGGCTGTACTTTAAAAGAATCCTTCTGGAATTTGGCAATAAATACAGGTTCTGTATTTTTCTGTACTGGCAGCTCAGCTAAAGCAGTTCTCCTTCCTCCATCCTTCAGCACAAGCTCTGCTCATCTCAATAATCAGCCTATTGATGTTTCAGAAATGGAAGGAAAATCTTTTTCAATCTCACTAAGTCCCAAGGGAGATTCTGCTTCCCAGTGCAATTCCTTCCCCTTCTTTCCAGCACCACCGGCAATAATCAGCTGTATGGGGTAGAGGAAAAGGAGGGCAATCTCCCTCTTGCCCTTTACCCTAATTTGCATGCCTGGTATATTCCATGAGGGAAAAATTTCCGTATTTCCTCTGGCACAGGGACAACCATCACCCCTTCCACTGCATATGTGAGCTGCAGCCAGTCAACAAATGACATTTAATATAACACAGTCACTTGTGTACTTCTCAGCTAGGTGTCGGGGCAAAAAGTTTTTGGAATATATCAAAACTGACAGTGAAGGATTGCAATGGAGAATCCAAAAGCTCTGACAACATAAATTTTTGGACAGAGCTACAGGAGTTTAGGTATAGAAATACAGTTTGCAATGAAAAAACCCAAGGATATTAGAAGTATCTTTTACCTTATTCTGTCTAACAGGGCCATATTACTTTAGATCACGGTACAGACTTCCTGAAGAATGATGTATATTAAAATTCTTAGCTCACAGATATTTTAACAGCTGTTAGAAACAGAGACCATCCTTCCCTAAGGCTGAGAAAACCTTTTGACATATAATTACAGCATGTAAAGTATAAGGAAAAGAACAATTTTCACTTGAAGACTAACGATACAAAGTACAGGCTTTCAGTATTCTAAAGAACATACATATACATAATTTTCACAGTCTTTAGATTAAAATGCAGTGTACATAACTGCTACAAGAAGGAGCAGACAAGAATGATCGCCCTACGGGCATCGGCCTAAGCTCTGCCAGGTAGCGACCATGTCCTCCTTCTACTACATCTTCCCTCTGTAACCACAGGGAAGGCCCTTAAGTCCTGGTTCACAATATAAAGGGTAACAGGAACAATACAAAAATCGCCCCACATAAAGATATTTATTATTAATACATACTTCATAACTAGCATCTAGATAATCCTTTCTTCTTATGGAAGCATGGAAAAGAAATATTAACCCAGCAAAATCTAAATTACAGGAAAAGTTCTTGTAACCATCTCCATGGCAATCGTATCCTGCCTGCAATGTGACAACCCATTTGACAGCCAGGAACAGAGTTTGGCAGGAGTGAGATCTAAAATTAATACTTCTTCCTGTTTCACCTCTTAGCTCCTGATTAATTTATTAGCTAACTGATTCTCATGGTGGTTTTGTACTAGTAATATATCCATTGCCAACCACCCAATACCTGTCCCTTCCCTTGTTTGCTGCACAGGATACTTACAGCATTTAGCACGTCCCCTACACCGATTCCTTCTTTCCAAATAAGTTTGGTTTTTTCTGTATTAGTCATTTTTCTGAATGTAGGCAAGCTGTTCCTAGTTTTAGCACTCCACATCAATTTAGAAATCTGATTTGTACTTCCCAAAATCATCCATCTAGTATATTCTTAACTTGGTTCTAAATTCTGAGCTCTTTTTCAACTTGAAATGTCAAACCTGACTCATTCCAAATATTAGAGCTAGAGCAACTCTGACCTTGTTGATTTTCCAGTAAACTGATTCCATAAACAAACTTCCCCTAGTGTCAGATATGGTTTACAACAGCCAGCACCTATACAAATAAATGACCTTAAGTCTGCACTTCTGAAATACTAATGAGGTTTATTTTATGGACTACCTCCTCATATATGACATAACTTCCTACAAAAACCCAGGATTCAAATAAGAACTAAACATTCATTTGGCTGACAAGATATCTGAGATTATATTAATGCATTTAAACAAGATAAAACCTGAAATTTAAGGTTGAGAATCTCTATTTGGGATTAGGAAAGAAATTTCTGTGTACACATAGATCTTTCCAGCTAACACCTCCCTTAGGGTATACAGATGTTCATGAAATATTTCATGTGGGCCAGGGAACGTGGTAGAATACACGATTTCCCCTCTGCCAATTCTCAGGGTTGTGCTGTAGCTACAGCAACCGCTCAGATAGATGAGTAACACTGAAAAGCAGTTATTGCATTAAAAAGACCACTAAATAGTCATCCATGTTCTGAGCATCTCGAGTTAAGAAGAACAGCTGACAACACTGTGCACTTTAGTTTCTTTTCTGACTTCTTTTCAGTCATTGTATTTCTCTCACTTAGGCATGACCTGAACCCTAACCAAGGCTTCTGTGAGCCCGTCTTCAAGAAATAACATGGCAAGGGATTGTCCCTTTGGGAAATGAGCATCTCAGGCAGTCCACAGCTCTGCTTTTCTCTCTAGAATGAGCTTCCTCATACCTCCTTATCAGGCAGCAAGAGAAGCTGAGGACTGGAGCTAAAAATCTTGGAGATGATCTCTGTATCTCTAGGCAAATTGTTATCATTTAAGTTGCATAGCCTCCCCATTCATTTCACTTATGAGTTCCCACTTAAAAAGCATGGGGTAGATTTCTTGTAAAAATATGGCTTACATAGGCTTTGTTGTTCCCGTTCTTTATCTTTTCTTCTTAAGTTTTAGCAACACCATGGGCTATTTCTGGCCTATTTCCCCTTTAAAAATGCCATCAACATACCACAGAGCATAGCGGTCTCTTGAGTTTGGAAAATCTAGCAGCATAAACCACGGTCTTTAGTGATGCTGTAGATAAGTTCCACTTTCTGCTTTAAGCTAAAATTGCTGTGTGAGGTGACAGCCCTGGCAGGAAAAGCAGCAACAGTATTTCCAGCAGTAGCAATTTCAGGTTCATTATACAGAGCTTTCCCTTGAGGCCATTTTCTTTGTGTTTTTCTTGTTCTCGTTGCTTCTTGGTTGCTTAAACTGACAGCAAATGCCCTGGCTGATTTTCACAGAAGCACATTTTCTATAGTAAAAAATGACCAGTAGTTTTGAGAAAAATGAAAAAAGTTCTAGATAAATCTGTCTGCTATTGATAAAATACAAAATATCCCCCCTCACATTCAGCATGGAGATATAGGACGATATTGCATAGCAGCTTCTGAAGGTCTAGAGAAAAGATGTGAAAAGAAAATTGTTCTTTTAGAGAAAGATGTGGAAAAAGAATACTCAGCCTTTTTTTTCCAGTAAATTTTGTTTTAAAGATATGTACTCTCCATTGTTTGCGAAAACTATCAAAATTTTAATAGAGTTCTTGGTATATATTTGGTCATGGCCATTACAAAAGCAAAATAGCAGTATAAGATTATATATCTAATACTGAAATATTATCTGCTCTACTTATTTCTCTGTAGTGCAGAGTATGGCTACATGCTACTGAACACTAACGTTACTTCTGACAGGGACAAATATTCTTTACTGCTCTTTGTTACGTACTGACTATGTGTACAATGTATTATAATGGTAAAGGTTGCTCATTTCATGAAGACTTTATTGCCATTTGAAAGCAAGAGGCACATAATAATCAAGCATTTATAACCAGGGAGCTTCAAGTGGACCCCATGAGCATATAATTACAGAGACATGGACAACTTCATCATTCACTGAATTGTCTTCATTCATTGCTTTACTATATGACAGAAAAAAATGAAATATTTTTAAGTACAGTGCCTCTAAAATCTCCCCCCTCCCCTCCCCCTCCCCTTTTCTTCCCCCATTTTCCTTTTTTTCTCCCCGAGTAATTGATGATGTATGCAAATGGCATCTCCTCTAGAGCATGCCAGTAATATTCAACAGGCAAAGCTTCTGCACAGCAGCACACTGTCACCACGGCTGAAATCACACACCACCGGAGCAAAGTTTGGTTACGTAAAAGATCATTTTGAGAAAGAGTTACCAAGACTCTGCTATTCTGAGTCTAAGACAAGAGCTGTCACCACAGAGGGCAAGTCTTGGCGCATGACAGCAGGTCCTGCATTTGATGCTCCACGACACACAAAGGGGCAACCAAGCGGCCCCTCGGGGTGCGCCAGCCCTGCCGAACTCTGCCTTGACGGGAACATTCGCTCCACACTCAGTCCACTTCACCCACTGCACTTGGCGTTACTTCCCCTACTCACATCTACTAAACCTTTCACATCACGTTGAGACGAAGAGTATCCAGCTGCTCTGCATTGCAGTTCTCCAGGGGATTAGAAATGGCCAGGACACTAGGAAAACAAGCTCAGAAATGCACACATGGCAGTCTGGGGGCCAAATAAGTGCCTGGCAGCTGGCTCCAAACATATCTAACTGCTGGCACAGTTTCACAATACTGAGACAAGTATTCTTGGTGAACATGTTCAAAGAGGTAGTAGATAACAGACTTCGGTGAGAACTCTTTCGCCTGTGCACCAAGCCTTTCTAATTAAAAAAACCAAAAACCAACCAAAAGCTAGAAAAAATATTAATCTAGAGAAAATTCTCAATACCTAAAAAAAAAAAAAAAGTAATTTTGATCTGAAAATGGTGAGGGGAAGAGAATTAATTCAAAACTGCCTTCTAAAAGCATCAATTCACATTTCAAAAGGCAAAGTTACTTCAACCTGAAGTATTTCAGATAAGCTTCTTAAAATACAGAATTCATACAGGTTTTAAGTTGTTCTCATTTTGTTTTTACAAAAACGAAGCTTTTTACAAAAGCTTCCAAGCTTCACACTTCACTCTACAAATACAACTCATTAGGAAGATGGGTTGTAATATGACCAGAGATCAACTAATTTTAGTCTCCAGATCTCCGAGTGATACTTGAGAAAGGTTGCTACTGCATATAATTATTTCATTAAGGATTTTGAAAAAGAACCTTACATCAAAATTTTTATTTTTTCAGGTGCTTAGCTTCAACCTTTAAAATACCATAATATTTGCAAAGGAAAAACAAAACATTCAAAGGCCCACCATTTATCATAAAATCACAGAATAGTTTGGGTTGGAAGGGACCTTTAAAGGCCATCTAGTCCAACGCCCCTGCAATGAGCAGGGACATCTTCAACTAGATCAGGGTGCTCAGAGCCCCATCCAACCTGACCTTGACTGCTTCCAAGGATGGGGCATCTACCACCTCTCCAGGCAACCGGTGCCAGCATTTTACCACCCTCATTGTAAAAAATTCTTCCTTAAAAGATCCAGATCTACCCGCTTTTCTTTTAAAGCCATTACCTCTTGTCCTATCGCAACAGGCCCTGCTAAACCGTTTGTCCCCATCTTTCTTATAAGCCCCCTTTAAGTACTGAAAGGCTGCAATAAGGTCTCCCTGGAGCCTCCTCTTCTCCAGGATGAACAACCCCAACTCTCTCAGACTGTCTTCACAAGAGAGGTGTTTCAGCCCTCTGATCATTTTTGTGGCCCTCCTCTGGACCCACTCCAACAGGTCCATGTCTTTCTTGTGCTGAGGGCTCCTGGAGCAATACTCCAGGCGAGGTCCCACCAGAGCAGAGTAGAGGGGCAGAATCACCTCCCTTAACCTGCTGGCCATGCTTCTTTTGATGCAGCCCAGGATTCAGTTGGCCTTCTGGGCCGCAAGAGCACATTGCTGGCTCACATCCAGCTTTTCATCCACCAGTACCCCCAAGTCCTTCTTGTCAAGACCGCTCTCAATCCCTTCATCCCCCAGCCTGTATTGATACCGGGGCTTGCCTCAACCCAGGTGCAGGATCCTGCACTTGGCCTTGTTGAACCTCATGAGGTTCACAGAGGCCCACTTCTCAAGTCTGTCCAGGTCCCTCTGGATGGCATCCCATCCCTCAGGTGTGTCAACTGCAGCACTCAGCTTGTCATCTGCAAACTTGCTGAGCGTGCACTCAATCCCACTGTCCACGACACTGATGAAGATATTAAACAGTACTGGTCCCAATACAGACCCCTGAGGGACAGTACTTGCTACCAATCTCCATCTGGATATTGAGCCATTGACCACTACCCTCTGGATGCAACCATCCAACCAATTCCTCATGCACTGAACAGTCCATGCATCAAATCCATCTCTCTCCCATTTAGAGAGAAGGATGTTGTGGCGGACCGTGTCGAAGTCCAGATAGACAGTACCTGTAGCTCCTCCCTTGCCCACTGATGTAGTCATTCCATCACAGAAGGCCACTAGGTTGATCAGGCAGAACTCACCCTTGGTGAAGCCACGCAGGTTGTTTTGAATCACCTCCCTGTCCTCCACGTGCCTTAGTGTAGCTTCTAGGAGGATCTGTTCCACGATCTTCCTAGGCACAGAGACGAGGCTGACAGGTCGGTAGTTCTGAGGGTCCTCCTTTCTAACCTGTTTAAAAATGGCTGCAATGTTTCCCGTTTTCCAGTCACCAGGGACTTCCCCTGATTGCCATGACTTTTCAAATATCATGGAGAGTGGCCTGGCAACTACCTCAACCAATTCCCTCAGGAGTCTGGGATACATCTCATCAGGTCCCATAGACTTAAGCAT